TGCTTGTTGGAAGCCAGCTGTGAAGGTTGCCAATGGTGATCTCGTGACTGTGGGATGCTGCAACCGTCGTAAATGTGTGCTGGTCCCCAAGTGAAGCACAATTATGTGTCTGTGGGGATGCTGCAATGGCTGTAACTTCGAGGACCAGTTGTAAGTTTCATTATTCAGTGCTGTCATAACTTTGAATGGTTGTTGAGTGGTCAGTAAATGAGGACTACCTGTAATAGAGATATTTAAACAAAATGTCTGTAGCCACTGAGCCAGCCCTATATCTGAGGGAGTTCTTTGCATTCAGGCCCATCCAATCCATTTTAGCTATATTGCACAGAATTGCCTTTTTTCTTGGAGAAAGCTTAAAATAAAAGTAGTTTGGAATGCCCTCTACAGGGGCATTCAGTGAAGATACTAAAACCAATTTATTGTGTCACTTACTTGGTAGAAAAGCACACAACCGTCTTTTGGGTTGTTTACATTTACAAGTATTTCTGGCCTAGACAGTGGACAATGAAGGGTTAAATGAGTGTACATTATGTCTTTGCTGAATATGTTTAACCTGCTGATAATTTGGAAAGTAGAAACGATGCTTTCAGAACTCAGATTTTGGTCCATCAAATCAGTCTTTGGCTGACTTCCCTTTTTTTTTTTTTTTTTGTAATAATACTGTAATATAAACCTGGCATTCAGCAGTGTTAAAGCTGTCAATCTACATCTCAGCATTTGGAGCTCTAATCATCATAATTTCTATTTTGTAAAATCAGAAATACCGTACAACCTTACAGTGATAATGCATGCACTGCTTTTTTATTAAAAAAGTATGATAGCCTGTTTTATTTTTATTTTTTTTATAAAATACATATTAATGAATTTTGCAAAAACAGAAAAGAAAAAAAACAAAAAAAGGAGGGGAGAGAAAAATTAAAAATAACCCACCACTATTCTAACCTACAGATAAATTCGGTGAAATGGCTCTAGCATCTTTAAAAAGAGTTTGCCCCAAAAAAGCATGCCTAGGAGTCATTATGACAGTGCAAAATACATTTATGTACATCCCTCTTAGAAAAACACCAATATGTTAGCATTCCAGGAAGCATGCTAGTTTTCAGAATGTTTTTCCCCCTATAAGAGAGTGAAATAGCAGCTCCGAAAGATAGCTTTATTCCTTTTCTTTTCTTCAGGAGAAATGAAAAAAGGAGGGGGATTTCTTTTTTTTTTCTTTTGACCTTCTAGAGAAATATTACTACTACAGACAGATATAAAAGCAGCATAGAAAGTTTCTCACCTACTAGTAATAAAGAAGACTTAAATGTGAGCATAGTTAACTACAATGCGTTTTCACATTTGCCCCAACACATTTACAAGGAAAAAAAAACACAATTGGGAAACCTCACAGGACAGAAGTGCTTTAACACCAAGAGAACTATTATATTTTTCCTTATTTTTAATTTTTTTTTTAAATTAAAAACCCAGACAGGTTGAGATGGAAAGAATTTGGATGGGATCTGGAGCTGGAGTCACTGCATTGTCATCATTGCTGATACAAAAATGAATGAGGTGGAACAGACCCGACGGTCTTCCTCCGTGGAAGCTTGTAAAAAAGTGAAGGAAATTTTGAAGCTTTTTTTTCCTTTTTGAGAGGGGGAAGGATAGAGGCAGCTGGTTGATATTATAGCTGCCAAAATGCTAATTAACTGCAGGCTGTGTTCTTATTTCTGTTCTAAAAAAAAATACAAAACCAAAACAAAACAGAAAAAAATCCCCACCAAACAAATGAAACAAAGGACAAAAAAGAAGAGGAGATCTTTGTATGATGGCATTTTTTTTCCTTTGCTGCTCTTTTAAGTCCTTCATCCCACTGCAATCATCTTCCATTTTTCATTCTGTTGACCTGGATATTATTATTTCATTCAGAAACAAGAAAAAAAAATGAACATCTGTGTCTCCTTCCAATCTGCTGCACATCTGCGTGTTTTTGATACGGGTCTTCAGAGTTCAAGTCAGTAACCCATGGACGCTATTCATCTTATTAAAATGTCTGCTGCTTTATCCAATGCTTAAGCCCATGAGGGGGTTTGTTTTCTTTTTCTTTCTTTCTTTTTCTTTCTTTCTCTCTCTCTCTCTCTCATTCTCTCTCTCTTTCTCGCAGTTAAAAAAATCCATTATTGTTACAAAGAACATTGTGACTTTATATTATTAGCATTTTTGCTTTCAACAGCAATTAGCAATCTCTTGGTTTGCTGTTTGGTAAAGCATCGTGTTAATGAGGTCACCTAGTTTAAAATCCCAGCTACTGGAAAATAACAGGGAGGAGGTCAAATCTATCATTGTGTGTGTGTTCAATCTTCTCCATTTCCTAAAGAAAAGATATCTTTGTTATCCAGAAGAAGTCATTATGACCCGTTACTGGCCTTCTGGGTTTTACTTCTACCTCAAGATACAGTATAATTTCTTTTATAATATTGAAATGTGAAAGTTCAGTAGAAACTTTTGAGTATCTGAGGATGAGGATTTTGTTTTGTTTTGTATTTGTTTGTCTTTAAGTATTTTTAAGTTCAGTCTTAGCGAGGAGTTGACTCTATGGTGCTTGGAGTTCCAGGGGTATTTGACCTAGGAGTAGCTGCTGGTGGGGTGTCGATGGGGCTCCCGGCTCCACTATTCGGTGTTGCGGAGGAGCTAACTGCTGGTGTCTCCCCTTGTGGCTGGGCCTGCAGAGTCTGTCCACAGAGGTGGTGATGTTTCTCCCAGTCTTTATGTTGGCAAAATGAGCCACAGTAGCGTGCGGTGTTGCAACCACTGCAGGTTTCGCTGGCTTTACGGCCACAGTTCCAGCAACTCTGTATAGAGAGATGGGGTGAGAAAGGGTAAGAGAACAAAGGACGTAAAAAAATGGTCTTCGTTGATAAATTCTATAGGTAGAATGAGTAGGAAGCCATCAGTTTTGAGGGGCTATGCGGGGGAGGGAGAAATCTTCAAACCAGCTTTCGCAACAAAGAGGAATTTCCAAATCTCAGCCATTTGGCAGGCCAAAGCTAGGATCTCCTCTGGATCATTTGCCATAATACTACATAGGATTTGGCAATCTGCCACTAGCGTATTTTTATGACTTATAAATCAATTCCCCTATAACTGATCCAATTTAAAAATAATAGTCATAAAAGTTGTTAGAAACTACTTGACACCTAATGCTTAGAAAGGAAATGCATCAGTCCTAAGAACCTCTTCCTTTAAACCAACATTTTTGGATCTCACTAAGCACCCAAAGCAATACCCCAGCCATGGTCATTAAGCAAGGGGAGGATATAAGAGGGAATTAAAGTTTGAGGCGTGCTTGGCTCAAGATGTTAAGGGAAGCACTAAAACAAACAAACAATTCCATGCATTGATGCATTTTTGTGTCAAGGTGGATTTCTGGAAGATTCCTGGACACACCCATACTGTTTCCTTTCTCTTCTTCCAAGATCTTTTTCAACCTCCCCATATAACCTACAGCCCTCGGATTTCCTGGTGGTCTCTCATCCAAGGACTAACTAGGCCCAGCCCTGCTTAACTTTCTGAGATCAGAAAAAGTCAGCTACCTGCTGCTACCTGCTATGACCATAATCACATAATGACAGTGAGTTTTCTGGAGTTTTGTCATTATATTTATGCAGCATAGCAAAGATATCAAGACTCAGTTTGATTACAGCAATCCTCAATATTGGAAAAGAATTTGTGAGGTTGGTCAAGGGTCATCTTTCACAATTACATCACAATTTTATACAGTAAAACCTCTATATACCAGACTTTGATGCAATGGATTTTGCATGCAGTGGACCAAATTTCCACTGTAATTGATGCATTATTAGGTAACTCCCCCAAATGCCCTCATCTCCATTTCAATGGACATTCCGGAATACAGTACAATTAACCCATTAAAACAAAGTTTCACTATATTATGCTTTCCTGCAGCAGCCAGGAGACAGCACAATTAAGAAATAGATGCATGAAAGATTTCTCTCATGAGAAAGAACTGCAGAAGTTGCCTCAGCGGTGTGTACACAAATTTCCTTGGCTGAAAGAAGACCTCGGTGACTAGCTATCTGTTATGTAAAAGGGAGGGGAAATGGCATTTGCTAAAGATTAGCAGAGAAATTATGGTTTTCATAATTGAGTAAAATTGGCTTCTTATGACAGTCATAAGCTACATAAGCCAACTGACCAAAAGAAAGCCAAAAGCGCCTCATTGTTGGCCCCACAGAAGATGTTATTGGGGGGAGAGGGAGGGCGGTTTCCCTATAAATTAGCGTTTCCCTCATCTAGCTCACCAAAATTTAGACAAAAGTGGTGCTCATGATGATTGGATAAAAAAGTAATTCCTGCAGTTTAAAAGCCCAGCACACTGCTTGTGTGAAAGGAGAGATATTAAGGAAGACGAGACACTGCTAGCTGCTGCTGATTCGATAGCAGAATTTAGTCACAGTGACCTAATTGCTTATTCTAACCAGGAGCTAGACCCGCCTTCCTCAATCAGACATCCTTCAGGCATGTTGGGTCTGTAACTAACCAGTAATCCCAGCATCACTATTCTGAGACTTTTTTTTTAGATTTTTTTATCCCACCTTTATTATTTTTATAAATAACACAAGGTGGCAAACTTACCCAATACTCCTTCTGCCTATTTTTCCCACAACAACAACCCTGTGAGGTGAGATGGGCTGAGAGAGAGGGACTGACCCAAAGTCACCCAGCCGGCTTTCATGCTTAAGGAGCAACTAGAACTCATTGTCTCCTGCTTTCTAGCCTGGTGCTTTAACCACTAGACCAAACTGGTTCTCTGATCCCAATATATTTGGAAGGTGCCAAGATGGATACACATTTTTGGAACCCTGAGAAGTACATCTTAGCAACTGTACTATCATTCATCAAACATCTGAATTTTTTTTTGCACTACATTTTACTGGAGGAAAAACCCTGCAAATTTTAACTGTAGTTGTGTTAATGCTTTGTACACATTCCATATGCATTTAGAGACTGAAAGTTTGGGCAGTAGAAACTAGAACTGCATTTGTCACTCTTCCATCCATTAAAATCTTAACTTTATCACTTAAAGCCATTCTCCAAATACTCCATGCTCTGAAATTAAGTAGCTTTTGACCAAGAAAGAAAATCCAAAATTGGCACTGAAGGAATTTTCACAGGGATGTTTACTTGGTAGCAAATTTGGTGGGTACCAGGTTAAGTTTTTTTTCTTTCCCAGGATCAACTGGATGTCTTTTATTGCTTTTTTTATTATTAATGTAATTCTCCTAGTTTTTATGACACTAACTGCATAAACTGAATGTATTATTATTTAAAAGGTTTTTAACCCACGTATCAGGCATATTACACTCATAAGATAGCTTGTGATGCTCTAAAACATAACATTTTGCATTCTAAAAATACAAGTCCAGTTCTCTTTCCTGAAATGAAAATGAGTGAGAAAAATCACTCCAGAATTTCAGAAATTACACTAGTATGTTGGATTTCTCTAGCCTGCCCTTGAATTGATGGGATGTCAACTGATTTCCACTGTGGGATAAACAAACAAGGATATATTGCTAAAATTTCCTTTTTTTCCATTCAAAAAGTTGGTGCTTAAAATGCTGAAATTCTGTCCCTGTCTACATTTCATTCCAAAGTACAAGAATTCCTTGTTAAGCACATAGCCAGCTGATGGCATCTTACATTTCTGCTCCCTGCCAAATGGGAAGCCACCAAAAGGATGCCTGCTGCTCCTTTCCCTCCAGCTTTACTATGCCAGCTGGATTGCTGGAGCAGAGCCAGCCGATAAGTGAGATTCCTAAACTACAACAGAAATCCCAATTACCAGGAAGAACAAAGGCCTAAATCCAAAATACTGTTTTAAGGAAATTAAACGTTTAATCGGAGTCAAGTGGCTTCTTTAGAAAACAGTCCTAGTGTAAGATTTACTCTCTTTTGGCACAGGAATGTTTTGGCAGATGCAAGAATAGTTAAGTGTCCAGTACGCATGCCTCCTTCCCTTTCTCTTTTCTCCTTGTTAGATTGAATTCAGATGTATGCAGCATTTCCATCTAAACTCATATGAATTAAGCGTGCAGACTAAACCAGGTAATTACAAATGCATGAGCTAGGGGTTAGGTGCTTTTTTTTCCTGGTATTTGCAGAAATTGTTCCCATCTTTTAAAAACTCTTCTTAAAAGGTGGAATTACTAGCACAGAGAAACAGATGTTTTTTAGTGGTTAAATTGTAGGGAACACAGGCTCCTTGTCTGCCATCAGCTGGTTTTGATTCACTGTCCATGGTTTCAGGTTCATTCTGAGGATTGGGGGATAGTTCACTGTAGTTTTATAATTATTTATTTTAGGGCAGGGGGAAATAATCATGGCGAAAAATTGTAAAATCGCAAACAATGGGGTGTTTCCAGGAAATTTTGTTGAGTTTAGTATGAAGACCATTTTTGCAACCCATCAAATATTGCAACTGCACAGCTTCTATTCATTTCAATGGAGCCAAAGCAGAAACTTTATGGAAATCTCACTGAAAGAAAGAGACAGTGCTAATCATTACTAATCAGTTTTATGTCTCTGAGGAGACTTCCCACATCAACACTTCCACATCAACTCTGGAAACCAGCACTTGAGTGGATTTAGAATAACTACAATGTTGAAAGTTCTGCATCTAAAATTTCCAGGGTCTCCCTGTTTAGACAGACTCCTTGGCAACTTCAGTTAAAAGGGTCATGGACCAGGAATGGTAAACAACTTGGCTTGTGGAACTGAAGAGCTACTCCAAGGCAGTTTGTCAACACCGACCCGGAGAGACAATTGGGGCATAACCTCATGTCCCTCTAACAGTGGCACAAACATGCCTTGGTAACATTTTCTTCATTTCACCCCAGCCAACAGCTGAGGAAGCTTAAAGTCATATTTAGCTTTTCAATTTTAGTGTTTTCCCTCTTCTCCTGATATAATTTTAGCTGTGGATAAGATCTCACATCCATCATAAATGATGTGGTTGATGACACTGTCAAAGTGTCCAACTCTCATTGACCACTTGAGGTTCAGTAGACACACACCTCCCCTCCCATTCACTGGGCACTGCCTCCATAGCCATTTTGGGTTAGGTTGCAGGAGAGATCAGACACATGGCTTCCACAGAGGTATCTCCTTGTATAATGCTTGAATGACTTTTACCAAAGTGCTTGTCAGGACTTAGGTACGGGAGTACTCATTTAGCGACCACAATTGGGACTGGCAGCTCGGTTGTTAAGTGAAGCAGTTTTCAATATACTCCCTCCTCCTGGGCTTTTGGGGCACAGATTTATCATTCTTTAAGGATTGTTAAACCCATGTTCAAAGGACAGGACTTGTACTCTTTCAGAACAGCACTAGACTTGGATGAAAAAGAGCCCAACTGAGAGGTCGTAAGAGCAGAGAATCCCCATGTCTGTGACCTGTTAGCTGGGCAACTTGGCAGGTGGCTACACAGATGATTCCACGTACCTCCCTACATTCATCAATTTCTCTCCTTAAGTTGTCCTGAATTAAAATTGTAAGGACAACAACGATCACCACCCTACAGTAGTTACTAAGAAAAAATAGGGCTTGGCAATCAGGACAGTAAATTTTATTTTGGTATACCTTTCTACCGGCTCAAATACTGGTGGACTTGTGGCTGTCTGGCTGTACCCATAATATATCCTAATATAAAGGACCCTGAACCACTATGGTCTTCAGAAAACTCCCCCATATCTCACTACTAGACATATCAGGGATTCGACCTGGGGCCTTGCTTGTTGTTTGTTTTTATTTATTTTATTCAATTTGTATGGTG